CTCCCCCCCCCTCCACGGGCGTTATTTACCTCCGGATACGTCCCCGCCGTTTCCCAGCCCTCGCGTGTTGTGACTCCCGTCCCGGAGGCTCCGACGGGCCCGTTAAATACGAAGATAGTGCTGCAAGTTGTTAGAGAAAGGGCAGTATCGTCCCGTTTGCCGTCCTGCTTCACCCCCCTTTCCCCAAGCAGCCCCGGCTGGAGTCTACCAGACGAGGTAGACCTTGGATCAGTTCCTCTGCCGTCACGCTTATTTTCTTGTAACTGCGGTGTTGTTAACCAGGGATTTGTGTGCTGGGTGTTTTGCAGAAAAGCTGAAGAGTATCTACGGCTGTCCCAGGTGAAATGCACAGGACTGATGGCTCAAATGACAGCGACAAGCAGTGCCGTGATGTGCCTGGACCTAGCTGCTAGTTTCATGAAACAACCGGTGGACAAAGTAAGATGGAAAACGTGACTTGTTTGGCTGCTGCGTTCTCCATAGATGCACTAAGACCAGTGTTCTGTGTGGTTTGTAGTGGAGCAGAAAAGGGAGAGTAACAACTGACATTACCCTGAACTTCTGCCCAGGGTACTGCTGGGCCCTTCTAGAAATTCAGTGCTATTAAAGCTTTCATTACTCAGAGTTTGAAACTGGGAGAATTGAGATTAGTGTCACTGTCATATTCGCTTCACAATTTAAGCTTGCTTTGCTGTTATTTTCAGCTCACTTAGTAATGAATTAACTACTAGCAGGGATGTTAAATTTAAAATCTGTCCCTTTACTGTGGGAGCAAAGCAGTGGCTCCAAGGAATCCCTCTCTACAGCGGCACCTATAAACCTCCATCTGCAGAGCTGCCAGGTAAACAGCACTGTGCTGCCAAAATACTGTTTGATATAAGATGTTCCTGACTGTCCATTCACAGACAGAGGGGAGTTTGGTTGCACCTGATCCCATGAGGAGTAGCATGGAAGTATTGTGCCTCTCTACAAGTTGCTCAGATCTTGGGTACCTTCCTTTTTAACTATATTGTGATGTGTTTTATCTAGCAATTAAACATTATTTAGAAAACGTGGTATATAGTTTCTTTCTAATCTATTTCAGTTGGCTGATTAAGATGCTGGAAAGTAGTCTGTAGCTAATACCTGGGATTTATCTGTCTTTCAAAGAGCTATTTTGTTAAACTCTCCGGTTTGAACAAGACAACTTACCAGAGCTCCGTGAAGTCTTTGGAGTGTTTGCTAGGGCTGAACTCCAGACTGGGAATGCGAGACTTAGCTGTGCAGTTCTGTTGCATGGAGGCAGTGAGCACCGCTTCAAGAATACTACAGAGGTAAGGAAGCTCTTGTGATCACCCTGGGAACCACCAGTAAGATCCTTTGTTCATTAGGTGTGTAAACAGCTTGATGGTTGGCAGGGCCACTGACTGGACTCCAGCGAGGTGAGGTCTTAGCCCTGATAATCCAGCCATTTATCTAGGCCACTTTTAAAATTACATGTTAGAAAGACTTAGACTGAATCTCAGTAAGTCATTATCTAAGTCCTTGTTCTTCAACTGGGAATAGACTAAAAAAGATTTGACTCCTAGACCATGGTTTTGTCCATAGCATCACAGTGTCTTCCATTCAACTGCTTACATCTGATAATGTCACAGTTCAGAAGCACTGTTCAGTAAAAACAAACCCTCCCTTCTGGAGAAGCACATCTCTTCTAAAATGCACATTGCTCTTTGTGTAAAAACAATAGTCAGAACACTGCAGCTGAAATTCAGTTGACTCAAACCTTGCATTCTGTAACATCTCTCTGAACGTGAGCAATCATTGAAGGGCTCTGTTCTGGAGTGCTGTCACCTTGTTGGCACAACATGTTTAAAAGCTGTTAGGGATTCCGAGTATTCTGAGTTACAGGAAAGTGAACACGGGCTATGTATGCATGTGAACGTTTAACACAAACTAAAACAAAAGGCCTGGGCTAAAGGGGACAATAAAAAATGAAATTCTCCGCAGTGCTGGAGATCCACCGTGTCATTTTCCATCCTTAAGTTTTCATCCTTGTAATATATGTTTTAAGGTATCAAAGGAACTATAGTTCTGCCCTCTACAACGGGATGGGTTTGTGCAAAGCAGCTCATCATAACTTTTAGATGTAGAGATGGAAAGTCCTCTGAGGATGGGGAGCAGGAGAAATAGATTTTACTGACATGCCTTGATCCAGATTCCTGATTTAAAATACCTTTATTTCAAATGGAGAAGATCCCAATCCCTTTCTTTTCCCTTCTCTCTTCTCAGCTAGTAGCAGCTGTTTATGCTTGACAGGGTTACAAAGGACCAAGTAGTCCAACACATGTTCATCTGCTGAGGACCACGCGACAGATTATTTCAACAGCTTCACTTAAGGCAAATGTGCCATGCAATTACCACTCTTATTGTTTGTAGGTATGAATCTAGCCTCTCTGAAGCACAGCAAATGGACCTTGATTTCTCAAAGCCGCTGTTTACAACAGCTGCACTATTCACTGCATGCAGGTGAGTATAGCTTGAAGGATATTATATGGGCTTAAATGCCTAATGAGACATCAAACGGATATAGTGCTCACAGTGTAAAAAGCTGATTCATTTTTCAGCATGTCTGAATAGTCTGAAGCATCTTGCTTAGAGCATCCTGCTGCTCACTCCTAGAATTGGAGGCAGCCCTAGCAAATGAATCATTTTTCTTATAGTAACGTCTCCTTCCTACACTGTATTTGCCTTCAGGAGGAAGCAAAAGTGTTACATCAAATATGCAGAAAGGCAACCTAAATTACTTGTCATAGAGTAAATGAAACCTGTCCTCTCCAGTGCATGTTTGATGCTGTGGATGATTCCATTAGGACATATTATCCAAGGCAGTAGCTGAAAAACATTTATTAGTACTTGCACTTCCCCTTCTCCCTCCCAGCCTAACATAATCCCTTAGTGACATTTTCAGATTTAGTGGGAAGGCTGTTTCCTTTTGTTGGTATGGATTTGAAACACATACCTTTTGTCGGTATGGATTTGTGCTTATTGCACAAAGCAATAAGCTGTACCTGGCTTTTGCTGAGAGGCTGCTCAAGGTACAGGAATGGCTGCTAGCTTACGTCTGAGCACCAAGATGCAGCCGTTGTCCTGAAGAATGAAAAGCCCTTAAGCCCTAGACCCACACATCCTGAGGATGGTCTAACCTTTGGAAAATGCATCAACTCGGAAGATAGTTGTCAGAATAGCGTGATTCAGCCAACCCTTTGTAAGAGTTTGCTGCATGCAAATACCTTCCCTTTCAGTATTATGCCTTGTAACAATCTTAGGAAGCAGTCTAGATGCTGTGTGGTTGCACAGCTCTCTACAAATGATATCTGACACAGTCATCTCATTCGGCTCTTTGCAGTGGTGGGATTTTGTCCTGCTTCCCTCCAAACCTGGAAAATACCTTTTCCTAATAGAACTACCTTTTGTAATTTGAACTAGCCATGGGCTTTGGTTCCTGATCTTGTCCTGATTGAGTAGTATAAGGGTCTGTTAATTAACTAGATTTGTTTCTGAGTGAGATAAGGACTAGGCAGATAAGGCAAGAGCACAGGCTTCCCCTCCTTGTTCTTGCAGGCAGTGCTGGTATGGTAAATGTTGCCTCACCTGTGTGATACTTGCTTGAACGTTGCCTCCTACAGAAGATAAATCAACTTTCTGTTGCAGACAGTTGAAGCTAAAAGTAGACAAGTCTAAAATGGTGACTACATCTGGGGTGAAGAAAGCAATATTTGAGCGGCTGTGCAATCAGCTGGAGAAGATAAGTCAGCAACTCACCAGTAAGTTATTGGCTCTATCCCTGTAAGACATCCCTTAGTCCTCATCACATCTCACAGTGTCCCCATCCTTCCACGCTGGTGACTTCATTCTGATCACTTACAATTGCTCCCTTCCGGCCATGCCTGGCTGTCCGTTCCAAAATGTTTTCTGCAGTCCAGATCCCAATAATACTCCTCGCTTCAGGGGAAGTCACAACAGCTTAACGTGTTGCAAGGCCAACAATAAATATTTTCTTCTCTTCTCAAACGCTCACTGTTCCTTACATTCTCTGCTGCTGCAACTTATTCCGTGCTTCTCTCATAACTATCTGACCTATCTTGGATTCCTCCTTCTCCTTTAGCCCAGCCCTTCTCCTTTTAACATAGAAACATAACATACAAATTAACATAAGCATCTTGTTATCTCTGTTGCTATGACTGACTTCTGTGTTTTCCTTTCCTCCCCCATGACAGGACTAATGCACATCTTAGCCCTGCTTTTCTGTGGTAATTCAGCTATTACCTGACACTGTCCCATCACGTACAGTGGGCAGGCATGAGGAGGGTCTTCCTCATCTGTTGTTGAACATGCAGCTCTCCCCACTCCTTTCAGTGGAGAAGGAAGTTTGAAATATGCTACCTGCCTTCCTGATACTATATTTCTGCTGCTTCCTACAGACCTCCTCTTTCTTTTCGTAGACTTTCTTCCCCAGTCCCTCAGTAGCAGCACCCCTGCCTCCCCGTCTTCACACTTCATATCACGGTGGTTTTGGAAAGTACTGCCTGAACCTAAACCAAAAGCTACAGTTCTCTCCCCAGGCAGAGACCATCCTAGAGTGTGGTGCCCTATATTTAAAAAAAAAAAAAAATCTTACCCCACCACTGAAGCAGATAAAAGCACCTGGGAGTTTCTGTATTAGCTCAGGGAAGAGGGTGTATCTGTGTACATAGACAGCCCCAAGCTTGCTGTGGGTACCTGTAATACAAACCGATTGAAAAAATGGGGTAGAAGGGAGAAGAGATAAATGAGAATCCTGTCTGAAGTAATCAGTAATAATAACGTGTATTTCTGGCTGCGAACATGACTGATTACGGTTACAAATAGAGCAGCAGCGCTGGTAAAAGCAGCCGACCAGTCCTTGCAACCCTTGCAGCGTGCTGGTGCCTCTGCATGCGCAGCTTAGGAGTCAGCCTGGACCCGGGAACTGCTCTGACTGGGCAATAAGCATTTCCTGCTGGGCTGTTTTCCATCCAGGTGAGTCACCTAACCCCTTGCACCACCTGGCTGCACAAGCAGCTGTACTAGGCAACAGATAGCAATGTGGGAGGATGAATATGTCACTGAGTCAGGGCACTGTGCAAGGTGGCACTGCTGTCAAAGAACTACATGTGGAACATGTAGTCCTTGGGGCCCCAAACACCATACAGAAATAAGGCAGCTTTCTGGGTTTTTTTGTTTGGTTGGTTTTTTTTTTTTAGAAGATGATGTTCCTTTGGCTACTGAGACACCTGAAAGCCTGCAGACCAACCTGGAGCACTGTGAGAAGGAAGATGGTAGGTTGTGTTTAGCTGTTAACTACATGAGCTCACCAGAGCAGCTCTGGGCTTTGTTGTTCCTTAATGATATTTTAGTTATAAAATATGCCATAAGGATCTGTTCACAGCATCTTACTCTATTGTGCAAATCACTGGCTAGTGGAAGGACTAGAAGAGCCTAACAGAAGGACCATGGTGTTTATACTGAGTGATCCTAGTAGGATTAAGGGCAACTTTTCCATTCAGAAACAAAGGTGAAGAGGTGACTATTGCAGTGGGGGGTGAGGGGAGACAGGAACAGCAGCAAACCACAGATTAATATAGTGACAGTCCCTGTGCTTCCCTGTACGTATCTGTACACTGCTACAGTCATTCCCAACAATCTATTGCCCGTGATGGCACATCATGGACGTTCTCCTTCTCTCATAGAATCTGAAGATGATGATGATGAGATGCCATGTAAACGGCCAAAGACTGAAACAAAGCAAGACTATGAAGAATGGAAAAAGAGAATCCTGGAAAATGCTGCTAAGGCAGAAAAGACAAATAGGAGTAGTGCCTCTGAAGTGCCATCTAGCAATACCACTGCTGCTTGCTCCTAATATTAACTCCCCTTGCATTCTAACAAGACTTCTAGTAGCATGTGGAGCAATGGCTAGCTGGTAGCCAGCTAGTTTTATTTATGAGATAGTTTTTAAATATTTAAGAATATTGTTTTTAATAAATGACACCAGAATTGCAGTGATTTTGCAAGAATAAGCATGTCTGAACACTGGCCAGGCTGGTACCTGAGCAGCTATGGCATTAGGGAGTAGAATAGCTTCATTTCTCTCACTGCAAGGAGGTAACCTTTTAATGTAATGTTAAGTGTGAATAAATTATAAATTAATTGCCTTTGTGCCTCTGGCTGGAAGTAGTCAGTAGAAATAGAGGGAGGGGATTAGTGGTGCCTTGTTAACAGCGAAAACAGATGAATTTAAAAGTTTGATAAGCTGTTTTTACTGCCAAAGAAATCCTGTTCAGATGCTGAAGTTGACTTAGTTTTTATGATCTATGTGGGACTGTAGCCTCTTGTACATGTAAGGGCCCCATATGGTCCAAGAAACAATAAAGATATCTAGGGGAAAACTTTGTATTATGACTTCAGGTTCTTGTCACTTGCTTAATATATTTAAAGCCTTTAGAGGGCACATAAAAGTAGATATATGGGATATTCCTATGCTTTAAGGAGGAAAACATCCAGGGGGACAAGGATCTCAGACCCGGTGTACCAGGCAATAGAACTTTTTTTGCAGGTTGGGGGCAGAAACTTCCTGAGCAGGAGAGTTCCCTATTGTTGTTGGAGGCAGCTTCCACAGTCCTACAACTGCAATTTGTGTTAATTATGTTCTCAAGAAAGATCACAACTTTCAGCAGTGCAGGGCTGTGGTAAGTGTGATAAAACCAATCCAAAGCTGCTGCACGTTTTCCTTTAATATTAATGTTTTGTCTGGGGTGTGCAAACAATTTATCTTCTGTAAACCCTTGTTTCAAAGGAACCCAGAAAACCTCCAATGTCCGCAAGAAGCAAACGGAACTGTGTGACTGAACATGTAGATTTAATATACTACCCCCATCTGGGCTTCTGCTCAACAGTATTTTAATGGCTTGCCAAACACCTCACACTGCAGCACACGCTCCTTGCTTACCTGTGCAACACCTATGGCACCAGGGTTACAGACAGGTGATATCATGCTATCAGGGCATGGGGCCAGGTCTTTCGTGTACTCACAGTTCCAGAAGCAAGACTAGCCGCTCACATGTGGTTTGTCCTTGTAGTCCTTGGTACATCCCCAAGCACAATGTGCAGGACACAGTGAAACATGCAGAGGGTTGCAGAGGTAGGTTTCCCTGCACTACAGAATTATATGGTGGCTGCAGAGTGTAAAGGGATTCGCTTTTGTTAGGAAGTAAGATACCATTCCTGTTGGCCAAGTGCACCTTCTCTCTGTGCAAAATGGAGAGGAAATATGTACAAGACAGCATGTGTATGTTACCCTCTTACAAAAATAGAGGAGGAAGCACACAGTAAGTACTAGCCATTTTACTTTCATTTCTTCTTCCTCTTCTCTCCCATCTGATAACATTGAAGCCTGAAAAAGGAAATCATTTCTGGCCAGCTTAACTTGAATTAGAAAGAGCTAATTTCAGACCTGATTCCTGATTACCATTCTGAAATATAACAACAACTTTATTTAGGAATGGACTCCAAACAAATGTCTGATGAGCAGAGAAAAATCTCAATAAGTGACCCACATTCAGAAAGAGCTGTAACAAAATGTCCCCTCTTTGAAATCTGATGTAGTATGGGGCAGTCCTCAAAAGGGGAGAGAATCCAACCTAATAGGTTAATATTCTGTAGCTATGACCTAATAAAAGATGCTTTCAACTTTTTTCTTCTTCTTCTTCCTTTTTTGGTTAAAACCAAGCTTGAGGAATAGGCTAGTTCCATTTTAATGCAATTTATTAGTCTTAATTCATAAATATACATACCAACGCATAAAACTATATTTAGCATGCAGTACCACTGTGAAAGGAAAACATGAACAATAGTGGGCCTTCACGGAAGGTGATACATTATCAAGACTATTTCACTTGATTTTATTTCTTCTCTGACCTGATTCTGGTAATGCTGCGGAAATCCTGAATCCAGGTGTAAGCAAAGTGAGAAGTGCTAGCGTGGGAAAGAGAACTAGACTAGCATAAGCTATTCTTAAAATCCTTTTTATTAGTAACCACCACTTTTGCTAATTCGAGGGATGTGAAAGTCCATAAAGTGGACAGTGGCTTGATGATGACTTTGATGAAAAGCTTGTTTTAATACTATTAGTTTCTGTTTTTTTCCCAAAGAGCCCATTTAGCTCATGCTGAGTTTTGCAGAATCCAGAACAAGAATAAGGGAAACCACATGCTTAGTAAACAATGTTATTATATTAGCTGCGGGACTGTAAGTGGCTCCAGCTCTTTGCACATGAGGAAAAGATTTCTATTTAAAAACAAAAATAAGTTAGTATTGTGAGGAAAAAGTCTAGCGTTTGAGAATAAAACGGAAAAAGGGCTCCAGCCTCCTTACTGGGCCAAAGGCAGAGTCCTGCAATACACCATCTCCCAGCCACTGACCAACAATAAAACTATTTTGCATATCACAACAATATGTCAGCTTCTCAGACTTCATCGCAATTGCCAAAAAAGCAAAAAAAAAAGTCCTCAGACTAAAACAAACATAAGTATTGCAGTCACAGTCAATGAGAAACATTTACAAGTTTTAACAACGTGTAATTCAATGCCTGGAAATGTCTTCTTTTCTGAAAAAGATTATTTCAATTTAATTCAGCTCAGTTCAGCTCACTATTAAAAAAAACTACAATGGACATATTGACTTAAGTTGCTTTCAAACGAGGATTCCTCATATTCCCAAAGTATTCAGCGACTTTTTTTTTTTTTAAAGAGAGTAAAATTACATTTCTTTTATATATATATATATACATATATATATAAAACGTAATTATATATATATTTCATTCTCATTCAGCTCTGAGTAGTTGTGCTGCATTATCATCATGTTTTAGAGGAAAAAATGTAATTTTTGGAAAAGTTACAGAAAAATAGGATAGCTGATCTCTTTTGCTTTAAGTAACATACTTGCAGGGAAAAAATAAGTGCCACTGTTGTGGCAGCGCTCTGAAATTGATAAAGTACATTAGCAGTGAAAGAAAAAGTCTTCAGAGATTCTATGTTTGATGGGAGAAATCAGAAAACTGCTGAGGTGTTTTCTGGTGTAAACATATCAAAAATTTTCTGTAGAATCAAAGCCTTCAGCAAGAAGTCAGTCCCACTAACAGCCCTGTTTTTGTATCACTATCCCCAATAACTAAAAACTTGTAAAAAACAAGCTAGGTAGCTTCTACTTTTAGAAGTTATTTCTATGCTTCTGCCCTGAGGCACTTCTGGAACTTAAGTACTCTAATGCACATAATATTTGAGGATAACAGATCCCAAACCTTATATTATAAAAGAAAGAGATAGAAATTATTGAAAAAAATAGTCCTTCTTTCATGGCTTGATGTCCATGTGCAAGAGCAGTAGATGATTCATACAAACTCATGCAAGCTTGACAGACATGCTCTGAAATCTCTTCAGCCTGTTAGCAGCAGCCACCACATAAAAATGTTTCTGTGAACAAAACAGAAAAGTCCAAATGTGAGTGTAACTGAGGTGAAGGACATTTCCTATGGCTGACATGGATTCAGCTCAAGTCAGAAAAAAGAGAACTCTTGCCACTAATGTCCCACAGCTTGTGCAAAACAGCTGTTTTCAACATATTACAGACAGTTTACACCTTCACCAGCTGAAGAAAAGTCCTAGTTTTTGCACAGAAGCACGCGTTTTAACTTGCTGAAAATTTTGTACCAGGTCCGAAAACCAGCACGGACTCAGCCTCAGGGAAGCCAACTAGCTTACAGTGCACCACCATTCACCTACAGCTGTCAAAGGCACAGTTTCACATACCATAAAATTGACATCCCTCCTACAAAGAGGTAACGAGTAAATAAACTACCAGAGGAACTCTTCTCATGGCTGAGAAGAGGCCCATCAGCTTTCCATGCTTGTCTTCGCATCATAGGCAGCGGGGTTAATTGCAGGAGACCAACTCCTGCAATTTGGGCCTCAGTGTACTGACAGGAGGAAAAGCAAAGCAGTTGCCTGTCATCAGTGTAATTTTAAGAATCCTGAAGGATGATGCTCACATCCTCCCCGCAAGGGATCATGAAAGGCTTTGTACTGGGGAACCAATGATGACTGCAGAACAGACTGCAACACTGTTACAAACTATATAATAACAGATCTTTAGATAATGTTTTTTTAAATGCAAGTGCAAAAGCCTGTGACCAAACAGCTGGAGTGCAGGAGTGTGAGCCTCAGGTTTAACTCCTTGGCAATGTATTACAATTCTCTAGTGGAAAAGGAAAACGGACATCACTGGGTTCTCTTCACATTTCCATAGGCTTATGTGCAACAAGATCATTGTGTCCCCCCTGCAGGTTTGAGCACCTACAATCCAACAGAAACCTATTACTTATTAATCCAAATTCAGTACCAAGGCAGCCCAGGACTATCAGGAAGGTCAAGTAACTTTCCAAGGTTGTGTAGGGCATCAGGTTCTGTGGATGGGTTTAAGATTAATTTTTTCTTCTCTCCCAAACTTCTGCCATGGGAGGTGCAAACCAGCCTTATGTTGTATCCCTACCGCACAGCGGCAACAGAACAATACAGCTGTTGTCAACCGATAAGTCTCTCCTATCTGAAGGGACAGATCATTTAACATAAACCGAGTAGTACTTGAAGCCTCTGTGGGTGAGGGGCTGAAAAACACCCTCTAAACACCAAGCCAAAGAAAGCAGAAAAATTTGAAAGCAAAATTGCTAAAAGTAGAAGCAATATCATTCTGCAGAAGAGAAAATTTAATTTGCAACTGAAAGTAGAATTCCCAAACTCACATTTACAAGAGTGAGCCCTGTGCATAAAAGTCAGTCAACATACAGAAAAGGAAATAGTGACCCTGCCAGCACCAGGTCGATTTTCTCTCTAGAAATAAGATTTTCCCGGCTTCCTCTATTTACCTTCCATTTTCTCTGAGCCATGTAACTCTGCAGCAGCAACTGGGACTTCAGGCGACACTTGGACTTCTTGGCTTTGGCAGGCAGATTGTTTAACCACTCATGCTTCAGACACTGTGTTGCGCTCATCCGGCAGCTACAGGGAAAGAAGTCTGCCATGTAAACACATCTACCACAGCTGCCATTTTCTCAGTACCCTGTGCTGCTCAATATTACTATCAAAGAAACTGCCTTAAATACACCAACAGAAAACTGAGTGGAAAGGCATTTTGAGATGCTGTTCACCTCCATGCACAGGGTCTGCAAGACATTTTGCACTCCCCAACATAAGAGGCAAGTGGTGTGAAGAGCTCCTGGGGGTCCTGCAGTGCACTGATTGCCTTGTGTTTGAATGCTGTACAGCTATACAGACTCATCAGTTTATGTATGATTTTTGTTATGTGAATGAAGAACTTCACTAAGAGAATCACTGAATACCAAAAAATAATACAGAGGTAGTAACTGTCTGTCCTGATAATGAAGGCTTATCCTGTGCCTTATATTTACATAGCACAGATGTCTATTCACCTTAAACTTGGATCAAGCAAAACACACGTTATCTCCAGACATTCAATAGTGGGCCCAAATATGAGGAACTTCTCCAAAAACCTTGAGAAATATATGGTGATAGAGAAAAAATGGGTGAAGAGGGAGGCTGAGAAGAGTCTTAACTAGCATTTTTCAAAACAAAAGCCTCAATTGCCTGTGCTTAACTCCTGTTTGTCTCAGCTGCTATTCAAAAGAGAAGGCTCAGAACTGACCACCAGCTTGCCCCCAATTTCAGTAGTCAGGAAAGGTAGGCACTGTTCATGGGCCAGTCCAGATCGGCTGTCTCAGAAAGGCAAAGATGCCTAGGCCATAGGAGAGCGCAGGACACACATGCCTCATGAACAACTGGGCCAACTACTCATTCCTCTTTGCATCTTAGTAATAATATTCTTCTCTTGCATAGCCTTTTCATTCATAGCTGCTACCAGACTTTGCAGTGTCCCTATGGAGTCCCTATTCCCACTGCATAGATAGACAGAAGACTAAAGCAAAGATCATCTACAGTTTCATAACAAATCATCAGCAGAGTGTGAAGAAAACAAACAACTTTGTTGACTCCTGCTGACTATTCCTCTGCTCAGGTTGTTTATTTTTCATTTTTTATGTAACTTATTGTTTAAAACACAATTAGCACTAGCACTGATTGGTCTGATTTAGGTGATGAGTCGGCAGATGACAATGCTCTAAGCACTCCTTTGAAGTCCCTTCGAACACAAGATCTGCACTCCCTGTGTACATCATTTCCTGTTTTGATTAGTTTTGTACTGCTATTCAGAGAAATTTCTCTACCCACTTTCCCCAGACCAATAGTCTTGGTCTGACGTCAGTATCGCCCTCATTCTGTCTTCTGATCTCATATGTACAATCACTTTGTTTCAGTGGAGCCAAGACTGAGAAGCCACAAGCAGAGTTAAGTCCCAAATGCTCCTTAATATCATCCAAATGCATTTAGAGCACTTCAGAAGAAAACAGTGCATGTTTTCACAGCTGCAGCTTCCATTCATCCTCCATAATATTCAAGAAATATTTTTTCAATTTGTGTCAGTGCTTGTGAAGATTCAAAGTAACAGAAAAAATAGCTTTGGCTCAGAGAAGGAATACCGATACCTATATAGCAAGGAACAATTCTTCCACATTTCCTCTACTCTGCCTACATTGATGTTACTGTGAAAGACAACTCTCTTCAGTCAAGGTACACTGATATTTTCATTTTAGATAGGGGCTTTTAATCACTGGAAATGCTCAGCAATGTGGAAATGCCCAGCAAGCACAGATACAGCATACAAAAATGTCATATAGTAAGTTCTTGTTGTTGGCTGCAATCCAAACACCTGACTAGCAGGACTTGACTAGCAGGAATTTAGTAATATTAGGAGCACCTGTCCTGATCATCACAGAAAGAGTTACCTTTTCTCCTTCACAAGCAGTCTGGAAATAAAGTCTTTTGCTTCCTCTGATAGCTGTTCAAATGCTTCTGCATCAAAATCCCAGCTGCAATTGACTACATAATTCATCGTCTCTGCATCAGTTTCTCCCAGGAATGGGGACAGACCACTGAGCCTTTTAAAAAAATAAATAAATAAAAGCAAGAGATTGAGAGACTAGTAGTTAGTATATGCAATATACATTTCTCCTCCTATGAATCTTCCATTTTATATTTGTGGTTAGCATTGACAGGAAGTACTCCCAACAGTGGGGGTCCCACTTCTCAATCCTCAACAGGAGCCAACAGTTTAGAGCAATAAAGCACTGTAATGTTAGTGTTACTCTCTAGCAATTCGCTCAGCTAAGTGAGGGAGCACTGCTAATGGATACCTACGGAAATTAATTTAGTGGGGATCTAGGTACATACTTTAGTGCTTTGCCAATCAGGAATACTAGGAGGGCTCAAGAGCTTTTGTAAAACAAGGCCCGCATCCAGATCTGGCTTGAATTAAATGAAACTGAACAATGGAGTACTTTTTTCAATTAGTCTCTAAGCCCAGATTTATTCCTTTAATAATTTATTACTCTATTCAGTTGCTTTTTGGCTAATGTATAAGTTCAAAACAGAAGTTCATCCAGTTCATGGAAAGCATCTATGAAAAATTCTGGGATGCCGTGCCAACTCATGAGGAGGCAGTGACTCTGGACAGAGAAGCCTTCCGTGGCCACCATACAGAGGCCAGAGAAAAGTTTTAACTTCATTTGTTGAAAGACATTCATTGTTTAGATGCATAGCTTAACACCCCCAACATGAATTCCTTTGTGAACGCCAAGTCCAAGCTGCTGAGATGATCAGATTTAGAATGTGAAAATTAACCTAAGTGCTCAAGAATTCAATGAAAATGAAAATTCTGACATGCCTTGGGCAACTTTTCTTAGTAAACAAGACCTGACCCATTTTAATTCACTAAATAAGAAGGTAAGACAGCAGAACATTTAAATATTTAGGAATAAGGATTATTTGTTGTACAAAGACTTCACACCCACAGTGAGGTGCCTTTGCATGAAAGGTCTGTTTCCTCTAACAGAATGAGTTAGGAAGAGTCGCACCCAGAGGGGCTCAGCCACTGCTGCGCTACCACTCTGCAATTATCCACCACTGGCCTGTTGTTGCAGAGCCTTTGGTGCCACCACCGTAACCCCTCACAGGCTTACTCACAGCATGTATGTGATGACACCCACACTCCACATGTCCGTTGGGAAGGAAACAAAATCATAGTTCACCACTTCAGGAGCCAAGAATTCAGGAGTGCCAAAATTAACTTTCAGTTTCTCACAAGGTTTGTACCTTTATCAGAAAGAGAGAGGCATCAGTGCTGACAGCAGGCTAGGGAAACTTATTTCATACTGTTAAAAAACAAAAACAAACAAACAAAAAAAAACCAAACACACACACACACACACACACGCACGCACAAGGGATGGCAAAAAGAACAATCAAAGCCCAGGACAGTATTAAAGGCTTTAAAGGATAAACTGGTGAATTTTGCTGTAACAGCAGGTGTAATACACCATCAGCCCACCCCTTTGCCAGAGCACGACCAGAAGGAAGTTACAGCACAATAAAACTTGCAAAGGCCTCCCCCACAGAGAGGTAAGAGCTTTAGTATCTGCCAGGCTCCATAGCATACTTTCCAGCAGATGTTGTCCAACAACAAATGAACAAACCATCTTTCATTACAACAGGTTTGGAGAGCCTTTGCTCAGTAGCTAGCTGCCAGCTACAGCTCAGAATAAAGGTCTAGATAACAGATATGAGTACTGCATAACTGCTCAGGTGCAACTCTGAAGAGGATTATTTGGGCTCAGTAACAAGCAAAACAGTAATCTGCATATGGAGAACAAGATTACATTTTATTACTTAAAAAGGAAAGGTACAGACACTGCATCGGTAACAACTGTTACTGATGGCAGCTGGAGTTAAGTCTGTTTACACAGACAGAATAGATCATTAAAGCATTATTTTTACATCTCCATTTATTGAAAGACCTTGTTTTCAATCTTGCTTTAGTTGCATCTTGACCCTCCATTTCAAAAGAAACCATAATTTAATCTCAGTGTGTGCGTTTCTGTTTTAACGGAATACGCTTAAAAGGGAAAAGTCCATAGATAAATACCAAGGTTTGGTACACCCATGTACATATGCACCAAAGCTAGGTATTTGCCTTTGGACTTTTTTCCTTTTAAGCGTATGCGTATTCTGTTAACAGAAATATACAGTAGCTTCACAGGATTTAGAAAATAAGTACTCAGAGAAATATTATTATTATACCAATAGGAGTCATTGATTTATATTCCAGAAGAACAGACTCATACTCCCACAGCTTTCCTCTAACAAAAACTCAGAGTAAGCCAAGGAAAAGCATGGAGATAATGCTGCATCTCTTTGAGGGTTTCCTGTTTCACATAGAATGGCTCAAACATGCATTTTATTTTGAAATCAACTTATCTACCTGAGGAGTTTAGTATATAACTTCCATAACTAGAACCTGTACAATAAAACCCAGCACTCATGAAGCCTCTAAGAGCCTTCGTGGAGTCCCTAGAGTAAAAGTTCTACATGGGGAAGCATCTGGAGATAATTAGAACAGCAGTATAGCGTTATCCAACAGAAATGTTATTTGAAAGGTAATTAGATAATTAATGCATGCAGCAAAAATTCATGCCTGCAGAAGCATACTACTTTGTTCATTCACATATCGGAATTGTTAAGAGCTGCCAAAATGCATAAACAAAACATAACAAGAACTACCAAAAATATGTCAGTGTTTAATAAATTGATAACTGAACCCTCTTACCTCCTTGCTAATCCAAAGTCTATAATTTTAATCTGGTTCCCTGTGTGATTTACACATAATATGTTTTCAGGCTACCAAAAAAACAAAAAAAAAAAAGAAAAAGAAAAGGAGGATGTTTTTAGTTAAATATACAACTGTTTGAGAGACAGATCTAGTAGAAGAGCAAGAAGTTCTATGAGGTTTTAATCATAATTTCAGGATATTTCTTTTCTTTTCCTTACATTATTATCAAAGGAGAGAAGGATTTGGCTCTGACATAATCCCATCTGAGTTAGTAAGAGACTTAGTTTTGGAACTCCCATACAGAAGTTTAATTTCTGCTGCTCTATAACAACATTGCTATATTTCATCACAGATAAGGGATGAATTTTGAAAGGGAAAGGGCCCTCTGCATAAAATGGCAGAGTCAGCCTGGTAACTGGACCAAGCTGGATTTACTGTGAAAGTAGAAACGTAACTCCATAAATTTATAAAGGCCACAAGAAGCATGTCAAATGCATGGTTTGGTTTGCTCATGAAGGCAAAGAAAAAGATTTGGATTTTCCAGTGAGGAAAAAAAAAATCTAAACTTAATATAATTGCAAAAATGTCTATAGACTAGCCAGATCTAACATAATTTAAGACATGGTATAAACAGGAAAGAACAAGTTCGCTCCTACTCACATCAACTGTTAAGGAACCATTAGGAAATTACATTGTCATTTTGCCGCAGTTCAGTTCCAGGCAGTAAGAAACACAAACAATAGGAAGAAGATAGAATAGCTTCTGAATACAGTTGGGGGGGGGGGGGGGAGGTGGGGGAGAAGAGGGGAAGTGGTATGAAGACTGCAGGCGCTTCTTTCTAAACTGTTGTGTTTAATTTTCTTTTCTTTTTCTTTTTTTTAAATGACGAAGGATATGGTTTGATTTCAGACAAAATGGAAAGCTTCTCATCCAAAAGAGGCAAAAAACAGAGAATCCTGTTTATTTCACTGTTCTAAGCAAGCTACCAAACAGACACTGAAGAAAACAATGGATCTTCAGAGCTTAATTCATTGTGGCTACTGAATTAAATAAGTTTATTTCATTATGAAATAAATGGATGAAAAGAGAAATGACTTTGTTCCTGCAATCTCCATACTTAATGATTTTGTGATGGCGTCATTAGTGTCATTAAAGAGCAGAAACTACTGACCTTCAGATCTAAATGGAGAATATAATGCTGGTGCAAGTAGTGGACTCCTTCACAAATTTGTCTGGTAAACAGGACTGCATCCAACTCTGTTAGATTGTAGTTTTCATCAGTGATCCGGTCAAATAATTCACCGCCATCAAGACTGAAACATTGACACAGAGAAGTGTTAAAAACAATAAGTTTCCTTAATTGTTCAATTTATTTCCAAGTTGGGAACTGAGTTTCTAATTTAGCAAGGGTCCTAGCAATACATCCCATATAAAACACATCAGTATTCTCAAAACGTCAGGAGACTTATTTTTGAGCTTGGAATTCTGCATCAGTCTCCACTGCCTTCGGAAACAGCAAAGTTGCTGCTAACATTCAGGAAAAAAGCCCAAAACCAGAACCACACAGCCAACAAGACTGAAGATACTGTGCAGAGTATCAAAGTTTATTATTCACTCATCATCCTGACACCATGGAGTAAATAAAAGTCAACCCACAAAACTTATTAAATGAAACTTCTCAAATTCAAAGTTGTTCTACCTGAAATGACAATAGAAATTCTGCATATAAAGAGAAAATAACATCAGACATCACTCTGACAAGGTTCTGCTAGATAAAAACTTGAAGTATGGATTTAAACGTACAGTTTTTAAATGTCTGTCATGTTTATACTTTCTCATTCATGTATTTGTGACCTTTTTTCCTTAATGCCATTAAGAATTAGTTTTGTAGTGGCATCTCAATTTTTATAGTTTATAAAAACTTCAGTTTTCTGTAAAGCAATATGCTTCTACTCAGAAAAGCTAAGGGGTATGCTTCACCAAATCCTCTTGGTTTGTTCCATATTTGATATAAACAAAAATTCTTTTTCAGCTTCAAATAATAGAGTATCTTTATTAATCCTCAAATATTCAAAAGGAGCTAGACCATGCACCTAGTGAACCACTTTCCTGCTTTCTCCATCTCTTTTCTAATTCTACTTAAGATACCTCATTCCTTCTCATGCCTGGGTCTCTTATGTTGCTTTTTTTCTCTATGATCTCAAAAAGATCATAATCTTTTTGTTTACCTCCAACACCTTTACATAATTGGGTAGCTAGGGACAACAACGTCAGAGCCTGTAAGCTAAGCTCTGAAATGAAAAATGAATTATAGTGGAGCCCTTCATTAACAATCTTGCAATTTGTTTCATACTCTGGAATATAGCTGCCTTTCTCACCATTTGTTTAAATTGTAATGTTATGAAATATATAATTTATAACTTAAAGAAATTACATTCAAAATGCAATTTTTTCATTTTGAAAATTAAGTCAACTTTCTCATAGGCTGGGAAATCACCCAAGTCTTTCTCACACCTCAGATTTATCATTCCTTATTTCCTCTAGTGACCTGAGCATGTGCAACTGTTTGACAGCACCTGAGATCATTTACACTTACTATTCCATGATCAAAGTGATATTATTTTTGCCTTCAAAAGCATCATAAAGCTGGATCAGATTCACGTGATTTAATTGGTTCATGATGTTAATTTCATTTTTTACTTCCTCCTGAAAAAAATAACAAGTTAACAAAAAAAAGAGCAAATATGCTTCTTAAATACCAACACATCCATATGCAACTATTTGTAAAACCCAGCAACAGCCATACAGCAAGTCTCAAGCGAACAAAAGATTTAATTACAAACACAAGAGATTACAAACAGTCATATAAAGTTCATTCTAACATCCACTAAGACAGATTTTACAATATTTGATACTACACAATGAGATGTTGATTCTTCAGAGTTAATTCAGTGAGGTGGTATGAAGGTGCTTGTAACATGTAAGGTTTACAGTATCTGCTCATTTAGATTTACAGTAACATAATTACCCTTTCTTTTGCTCCTTTCACTTTTATGATTTTGGCTGCCAGGTTGAGACCCGTTGATATTTCTGTGCATTTATGAACTTGCCCAAAACGCCCCCTGTTGATCCAAAGCAAAAGATGGGAAAACGGTTTAATATAACTCACTGCAGAAACTTTTCAAACAACTATTCTTATCATTGATTAAAAATAGCATGGTACAAAGTGAACAGAATCAGGTGGCCAGCAGCATGAATCTCCTCTTTCTCTCAGCTCATGAAGGATTAGTTTTATCTTTCCAGCCAGTTGTTCAATGCTTACATTAAAATATTATGCTCCCTACATATTACTACATTTCACAGTGGTATGATGACCTGATGATATTCTTTTTCGGTTCTGTAACTGTACCCGCTTACTGTCCTTCAGTGATGTGTTAGTGGGTAAATTAACAAGGATATTTCTGTCCTGATCTCATAACTTTTTTAATGACTATAACACCAGTAACCGTAGTCTGTATAACGCTACTCCACAGACTACATTTCTCGCATGTTGTCATCCAGTTATATTAAAAATCATCCTAAGGGACATTAAATACCAACTTTTCTGCTATTGCATCATCAGGCTTATACTTACTAAGCCATATTTGTACTTAGATCAGCCTGTAAATCAGACCTTCTTGTTAGATAAGTAAGAATACAAGAATACAATGGGTGAAGCAGCTGCAGACTTCCTATGAGTGAAACCTAAATGTAGGGTCAAAATAATTACTTCTTCCCTTCATTTGCTTTAATGTGCAGTTCAGCATTGAAAAAAAGATTATGGAAGCTGCCTGACCTACTGAGCTTTGCTGGCTTCAGATGCTCTGAATCTATCTGTCTGAAGGCTGCAGCTTTTTCTCATGACTCCAGCTGTGTTTTACCAGACACAGACAGCACTCACGCAAGATCACAATTAGGAGCCTGAATAAAGAACTGGGACTGAAACCAGCCATCTAAGAGCCTTGGGGGGTGAAGTGGGGGAACGACAACAGAAGGTACAGGGAGCCCAGCCACTACCAGCCCACAAGTTCCCGACGATGACAAGAGGAACAGAGGGATCTGACACCCTATCCACACTGTCCCCGCTCTACTATCCTAGGACAAATTTTTTCCTCTCTTATTGCTCTGGCCTTCAACCCTCATCAGCCTCTCCTACAGGGCTTAAAGCACTGAGAGTAAGAGCAGTATGGAAAGTGACTGTATAAAAAGAGTAGAGAGGATATTCACAGCATGTACTGCAAATAAACACATTGGCTATTTTTGCAACACCTTTTGCTGCAGATCGACCTGCAGAGTAAAAAGAAGTGAGCTGGCATCCATCGCTCCCCAAGCTGGTGCAGGAGAGCACTACCGAGCCCTGCAAGCCAGCTCACCCGCTGGCTGCAGCAGGCTTGTACCCGCCCTACCTGGGCACCATGGGGCCGCATGAGGAACAGAGAGCTCTGGCTCACCAGGTAACTCCATTTCTTCATGCCTTAGCTACCACTTGCACAGCATTAGGGACAGACAGACTTACCCCCCTAGTACTTCATGACGACATATAGAGTAGCACGTTGTCACCTCTGTTTGCTTGACACTGACTACGCGATGTTCAAAAGGAGCAGGAGGAGAAGGGCTGTCATCTAAAGAAGAGACAACCCAGTCACTGAGGAGTTTCTCCACAAATCACTACATTCAGTGTCAGCACCCCTCACGCCAACACTTTCGATCCACAGGACAGCAAACACAAAAAGGTGATGCGAGTAAGCATAATGAGAAGTCTCAACTGCCTTACATGCTCCCGGCATCCTCACACTCCAAAGCTCCACAAAAACCCTACTTCTGTGCTCCCCCCACCTTTGCCATCACTTTTCCTGATGGGACAAACCCAGTTTCTCAGAGAGGCATTGCTGAAGCAGAGCTGGGATTGCAAACACACAAGCGAAGCTTCTCCCCTCCCCAGGGCTCAGCATTTCTGTGGCTGTAGGGCTCTAAGGGAGAAATATCCGGGGACCAGCACAAACACCCAGATAATTCAGACCTAGACAGCTAAGTGCTGATAAACTGCTCACGCAAACACTCAAAACAGAGCTTTAGTAAAGTGCTTTAGTAAAGCACTACCCTCTCTCCCATCTTTTCTCTTTGCTTCATGTTCCTCTACCACCTCATCGCTTTTTCTTCCGCTGGAATTCAGACAAGCACTGAAGTACATGGATAACACTAAGCATGCTATTCCTTTGCTATTTTTAAGAGAGGAATGTAAGTAAAATAACCAGAAACAATAGAATTAGTTAACTTAAATGATATTCACTTAAGAACACATGCTCAAGTGCTTTACTAGACAAGGATTTCAAGAAAACATTGTGCATATATAGAGAGCTGGCAGAAGGTAGGTGCTGATGATATCAAAAAAATCCCTCTGTTGCTTCAGATGAGGAACTTTTACTGTTAACAGCTTTTTACAGATGAGGAATAAAGGCCCACAACTGAGAATAAGATTCTTATCTCCTACTTTTTAATACAGTAAAGTTCTAGAGGATCAACATCTTAATTTATCCATTCAGAGAAGGAAGTATCTTTTATATGGCAAAGTGTAAAGACCAAAACAAATACCCTACACTGATACCCAACAATCATGACAGCATAGTTATTGGTAAAGTCAGGAGGCTTCTCCTAGCAGCAAGATTTTTCTAAACTATGTCCTAGTTAAAGCTGCAAATATTACCATTACAGCTATTACGCTTAATCAGCTCTTGGGGAGATAATCGGTTCCTGGGAAGCTCATTGAATTAACTAACCATGATACACTTAATGTCCAGATTTTTCTAGGGTAAAGCTTCTGTAAACCTATTTTTGGGGATCCCCATTCAAAGCACTTGTACAGTTAAACTCCAAATATCTTGTGCCCCAATTTAACACATATTCTATTTATCTTTAGCCACTGCTGAGAAAACTAGATCCAGGTTTGGACATCTACCAAGGTATGTACGTTCTGGGAGATGTACACATTTATGCTGCCAGTAGAGCGTAGCCCTGCAACAATGCAATAAAATGCTCAAAGGGTAACCAAAAGGAGATCTGTGACCAATAACATAACAAAGACTACAGCAAGTTACTCTTCCTACAACATTCTGCTGCCCTCTGAATGCCAACTTACAGTTGCTAGAGCATACTTGGATTGCATATTATCTTATGGAATAAATGTTTTCTTCTCTGCCCTGCCCCCCCCCCCACCCCCCTCCCCCTCCTCTCCCTTCTGAATGTGCATATACTTCATCTAGTCTTATTTCAAATGAACTTTTTTCACAAAAACACCCTTTAAATGGACTCAAACTTGAAAATAATGTTTATGCACAGCCTATATGACTGAAAATAGGAAAGTTACTATTAAAAGAAACTCTACAATTGTAAATTCAGTTGTTTTTGACACTTATGTTTAAGTAAATGCTCTGGAATTTTAAAATACAGGTGTATCTAATGAGCACAGCTTGAGTTATTATTGTATATATAACATATATGGGTAGCACAAACCTCAGCATAAATGTTTTTAAGAGTAATTGTGAGCAACTTACCAATAATCATTTCATCCTGTTTAGGAAGCTCTTTGCTAGCTCCTAATAGTTCAGCCTTTTCCGGTGCCATTGCTGTGCACTCACTTGCTTCATTTTCACTTCCTCCTGAAGATGCAAACTCAGACTCTCTCCTCTCAGAGTTGGTATCCTTCAGGGATTCTTCTGCTTTGGCGGTTTCTTGATGGATTTTCACTTCTACCCCCAGATCTTCCTTCAACTCCTTTGCAGAGCTATTCTGTGAGGTTATGGGCTTGCATTTTAATTCTGATTTCTCTTCAGCCTTCTTAGCTGGTTTAGACTTGCTCAGTAATGTCTGTTGCTTCCCTATTTGAGATGCAGGTTGGCTTTGCTTACTGTCCCCTTCCACTTCTTGATTTGGCTCAGTACTGGTGTTTTTAGGACTCTGTTTAAGTTTTAATTTGTCAGGCAGCCGTTTAACTGCTTCTACTTCTGCTGGTGTGGAGGATGGAGATTTTGCTTTAGGACTTTTACCTCTGTGATCATTTAAGCTTCCTTCCTTGGTCACCTCAGTCTGTTCTTTCGTTTCAGTCATATGTACACTGATGGATATCCTGCAGAGCAAAGAGTTGACATTTTTATGCAGATGAATAGCCTTGCTCTGCATGACTTAATGGAAAAAAATGTTTACAGCCTTCTTAAACCACAAGTTTATATGATATTAAGGAAGTTTAGCTATTCAGTTCTCTTAGGAAATACTCATAGCACTTAGAGGAAAGCCACCAAACAAAGGTGTGCTGATGCTCATTCCCTGTCCTAGTCTGTGCATATGTTTGCCATCTGCTGAACAGAAAATATGTCATACACCACAAAGTCTAAATCTGATCATCCAAAAGCTCATCCCCTTTTCCCCAATTACTGCAGTTAGTCTAACAGAAGACCACTCATCTGGGCAGAGAGGAGGTAGTGATTGCCTTCATAAGTTACAAGCTGAGTGTCTAAACCCGACTGCTTGTACGGCTCTGCAAATCTGATCGTTTGTGTCCTAGCCCTCTTCCAGTGGGCTGACATTTGAGCACGCAGGTTTGTGTGTGTCTTTTTATGGGATAGCATTCTTCCTACAGTTTTCCGTTAAAAAACATAACTTTCATAAATTCTCTCATTCTGTTGATGTTATTTTCCTTGGCATTCCAACTACTGGAAACTTTTAATCATTTTTTTAATGTTACTAGTAAGAAACATGAATTAAAAAAAAAAATCAATATTCTATAGTCTTAAATTCTGTCAGAGATATTCCTGTGATAAATTTTGAGTCAACTGTTATTGCCTCAACTGTCATGAGCACAAAGTCTGAATTCAGTGAGGGTCCTGAACACAACTGAGGGCTGAAATTGTATAGTAGATCTTACACACAACCGCATTCAAAGAAAATCTGATGTCTAGGAGAGAATGCATCTCATTTTTCCCAAAGTTATTGCCTTTTTCAGTGGAGCTACCTTATTACAAGAGATGTTGTAAGAGAAATTGTTTCCACTTTTGCCTAACAAGGATCTGAAGTTTCTCATTTTTAGCACCTTAAACACCCTTTGCATTGTGCAATTAATCTGCACTTCAGGAGGCGTGAGCTATCAGAGCAGCTGAAGGCAGGTCTGAGCAGACACCTCTGCTGCTATCTAGACAAGCCTGAACTCGACAGGGCTCTTGGGCATTTCTCCAAGCAGGGGAACACAAACGTTCTTTCTGTGTTTCTGCGTGGCTTAGAAACTTCACTAAAACTTGTATTCATCCTAGAGAGGCATTTACTACATGACTTCACACACAAAATCCTAATAGGTACCTATTCAGGAGGACTGCAGCTTCCCTGGGACTTACCCTGGGTTAGGTTCTGCCTTCCAGCTATCTGTTGTCCTCCCTCCTCCACAAACCAAACTCTTTGGGGCTCTGACACCCTCTGCCCAAACCATCCAGCTGGTCCAGAAGCTGCTGCCTCTCCCGCTGAGTTCACTGCCTGGCATACCATCACCAGCCAGCACTGATTTCCATTTCAGCAACTGCTTCACAAACCTCAAAGCACAAGCTATCCTCAAAGCACAAGTGGGAACTTCCAGGGCAGTGCTAGGCCAGGCAGCTGAGACAGACCCACTCTGCTGTTTCAGGTGCCTATGGCTCTCAAGCCAGAGCCTTAAACTCAGGGCCAAAATATGGGTAAGTTCCCACTTTCAGTGTTATTACAGCAACCAATTTGGATGTAACAGTGTCTACAAACTGCACACCAAGTTGCTCGTGAACGTTGGAGAAAAAGTCACAGTAGTGAAAGCTTCTCCCACTCTTTCGCCTTAAACTCAGGGCCAAAATATGGGTAAGTTCCCACTTTCAGTGTTATTACAGCAACCAATTTGGATGTAACAGTGTCTACAAACTGCACACCAAGTTGCTCGTAAACGTTGGAGAAAAAGTCACAGTAGTGAAAGCTTCTCCCCCTCTTTCCTGCCACGTCCTTGCAGTCTTAGGAGAAAAACATCCTTTGAAGGCTCCAGTCTCTGTGTTAAGGCTATACCAACAAGCCAATCCTGGCAATGAGCCATTTCTGACATGGAGAAACACATGCTGACATCAGGACAACTTCCTTTCATTTGCTTATTTAGTCTTCACTCTCATTACTTTTTTTTTTTTGAAGGAGTCTTCCTATCCCAGTAGACATCTACCCTTCTCACAGTAAGATTTAAGTGTCTTGCCTATATTCACAAGTACCGACATAAATTCAAAGTATTCAAGTTAAAGCATTCACATACAAAAGTAGTGCCATATTGCTGTTCGGCCTTCAGACGCCGATTTGCACATGCAGGCAATAGGGTAATTGCACACACACAGCGTGCGTGCGTGTGAGAGAGAGAGAGCGAGCGCGCACGTGTGCGCGCACACACGAGTGTGTGAAAGGACACATATACATACATAAACATACATACACACACATCCCTTCCTGTATACACCAGGCCATACAGAGCAGGCATGGCAGTTCAAGTTCGGGGGTGGGGGTGAAGGGTGTGTTAATAAATGCAATTATAAATTAAATTCTAAAGAAACAATTCAAAAGGAAAAGGATTGAAAGATGCGTTACTAAACACCTATACAAGATTAGGCTAACAGAGATCAATGAAGGATGATCTGGTCAAATCTTTGCATGACCAAGGCATAAAGAAAGTTAAAAAAAAATGGAGGAGACCAAAGGAAAGTCACTTGGATTTGTGATGGTTATAAAAGTAGACGAGTTGGAAAGGAGTGAGTGGTTTATAAAGGTCCAATTCCTTGGGTTATCCTGGGGAGGTCAGCCTACCATCTCTCTATACATAGAAGACTATCATATCTAAAACACCTCATGTATTTACCCCTCTAACTTCTTAACTTCATAAAAAATTATAAGGGGCCCTTGCTACGTTCAGTTCTTTGCCTTATCCATTTGCGAGGTCCCACTGCGCCTTTTCTAGCATGGCCATTTTTCCACTTGATCACACTTCAGCA